ATCGACTCTAAGGCAACCGTTATGAGTTTTACCGTTCGGTAACACGATTCCATCAAGTTTTGGAATTGAGTTGTTTTGGTTGTTTAAATAATTGGTTCAATTTACCCGAGCCACGCTAATTCGCGCGTATCTCATGAAACTTGTGTGTTAGAATACGCAATTAACCAAATGTTTTATTTCAAAACAAAAAGACATTTTTTTTTTATTGTCGGTTAACAAAATAAGTATTAAAGTGATAAATGAATCCTTCTTGTTTTAACTTTGATTCAAATAATTAATTTCCTCGCGAACATACTATATATTATATATTTGATTATAGTTTTGATAGAAAAAGGATAAAATTTTAACCCTACTTTTTACGTATAAAGTTAACAGTCGAAAAAGAAAAATAACTTTTTGTATATTATTTGGTTCAAGATTTCCAAACGTTCTAATTAATATTTGCCGTAAGATATCCATAAAAGACCATCATCGATTTCGAATTACCTTCCCTTTCTTCTGTTCTTAAATTTTTTTTTTTTTTTTTTATTCATTCTTCCAAAAGATATCATCCGACATGGCTGATCCTACGAACCTAGAATTCTTTATAGGATTCGTAGTATCAATATTAGCCTCGATAATGTACGCAGCAGGTTTAAATCTGTTAAAAGCAGATCATGTAAAAAATTCGGCATTACCCAAAGAAAAGCAACGAGTTGATTGTAGCAGGCCACTATGGCATTTAGGTTTATACTTGTATATTGTAAGTCAGGCCGTTGGAAGTACGATAGCATTAAGTGAGCTATTTTTTCTTTTATATAAAAAAAAAAAAAAAAAAAAGGAAGATTAAAATTTAAAAAAAAAAAAATCTCAAATCATTCGTTTAGATTATTTGAAGACTCAGTGGGTTGCGCCACTCGGATCTGTATCGTTGATATTTAATTTCATTTTTGCAAAGATGCTTGTCGGAACGCAGATCACACAACGAGATATTTTAGGAACGATTATTGTATTAATTTCAGTATGTTGGGTAGTTTTCTTTGGAGGTCTAAATAACAGTCATATTGGTAAGTTTAAATGATAATTTTTAACGGGCTACTTTTACTTATAAATCTCGTTCACATATATATATTTTGGATTACCATCTTAGAATCTTCATTAACATTGAGGTCGTTAGAGTCATTAATAACACAAGCATCATTCATCATATATTTCTCAACACTGAATTCATTATCATTATTATTATTAATTGGAGGACTATATTTCGATGGGGTATTATTAAATGAGAAACGTAAAGAACGTAAGGGATTTTTTAAAAATGTTGAAATGGCTCGTCTCAAGATATATTGCGGTATGATTATGGCCACGGTCGCTGGATTATATGCCAGTCAAACTCTCCTTTTGGCAAAGTCTGGGTGAGTTATCGCTGCCCCGCTGTTGAAAAAAAAAAAAAAAACGTGAAAATAACGTTGATCAATTTTTTTTTTAGCGTGAAATTGTTTTTTGTTTCCATATCAACTCGGGTTAATCAATTCACTGACCTGACCGGATGGTTTGTCCTATTATTTCTTATAATAACCGCATTTACTCAGGTATATATACACATATATATTTTCCTTTCGCGTCTTGGTGTATGTTCAAGATTTCACATATATATACATATGTATAATATAGATATATTGTTTGAACGTGGCGTTAAAATATTGCGAATCAGTTCTAGTGGTCCCAATATTCCTCGGTCTTTACACTACTCTGGGATTGGTAAACACCATGATCTACCTAAACGAATTAACATCATATCCAATTTGGGCATTGATATTGGTATTTGTTGGGATACTGATTCTCGTTTACGGGGTATTTTTATTATCTCATGTGAATGAGGAAGTACCATCTTCAGAAACCGAAGATGAAAATTCGATTCACGGAGATGATGATGATAAATCATTTAGTGGGTTTAGTTCATGGAGTGGGGATTCTTTCTTTAACAAGAAATCAAATCCAACCGGAGTTGGAAGAAAAAAGTGGACGGGTGGTGGGATTAGAGGTTTATTCAAGAAAAACGGTGACAGCAACATACAAGGCGAGAAAGGGGGTGTAAAAAGGGAATTTAAAAAATTCGGGTTGAAAGAAGAAAAGATTAAAAGTATGTTTTTATTCATAGGATTTAAAACGTTTTATTATAACAATTCTGTCAATAGCGATGGGTATAACAGTGATTTTGATAGTTATAGTAGCAAGTTCAGTATTGGCATCAATAGTGATAATAATAGTGACGTGGATCTTAACAATAATTCGGTCGTGAATAATTTAAATAGTATCGGAATCGGAAAGAAGGAATGGAGCGGTGATTTGGGTAGTATTATTAATTTAGATAAACTTGTTACTGAAAATTTAAATGAGAAGAAAACTTTCGCTGAAAATGTCGAAAAAGGTGGTTTTGCCGTTTGATCGATCATAAATTTAATAAATAAAACAATCATTTATTTAAAAACATGAATTGTTCTTTGATAAAGTGCGATCCTTATTATAATGTAATAATATTTGTAAAAGAGGAGAGTGAATGAGTGAGAACCGGCAATAAATAATTATTTATTAATAAGACATATAAAGAAAAGTATAGCAACGAATTTAAAAGATATAATAGAAATATTAAATAATTAAGAATTAAATGATTAAGGTGTGTATTTGATATAAAAAAAAAATGAGTAATGAGGTTTCACTAAATTTATGTTTACTTTTTAACGATCTTAAAAACTTCATATTCATCAACTTTAAAGCTTCCCGTGTCAGTAACTTTATCAAAATAATCATCTTTTTGACAACTACAACTTCCCTCTTGATCAAACTTCCCTTTCATGCTTAAATCCTTATCCCCAAAGCAAGGTCCATAATCTCTCCCATTAAATCTAATGGCATAACAACTTCGATGCCTGCTTACCCTACATAATCTACCATCCTCAATCATTCCTCTGTTCCCGAGTGTAAACAAGAAACTATCTTCAGTGTTCCAATACCCTTCTTTGGAGGACCACGGTACGGGAGAATACCCTCCTATAATCTCATTTGTTTGATGAATTTTCATCACCACGACCGTACGACCTTTATCATCACATTTTTCATGAAATGTGTTTGAATCAAATCCATCACGGGTTCCCCTCAATAATAGTTGGAATCGATATGGAATATCTTCGTACAAATACCGTTTCTGTCCTAATATATCGATCCAACTACATAATAATGCTGCGTGACATTGTCTCAATAGTCCCGAGTCAAATTGTAATCTTTTCGCTAATTTATCAATAGATTTTGGCGAGGTCGTAGGTTTCAAATGATATCTCATCACGTCTTCTAATGTATCCTTAGGTAAAATATCCCTAAATGGCCAAACTTTATCAAAGAAGTCTGATGAATTGATTTGTGAAAATCCTATCAATGGAATACATTCTTTTAACGTTGTGCCCAATTGGTCAAAGTCTTCCTTTGTCCATTGTGAAATATTCTCAACTAGTAGATTTTCATTTCGTGCCAATCCCCATTCAATTAAATAATTCCAAATTTGAACTTCCCCGATTTGTAAATTATCCAATTTTAAAAATGGAACTAATAATGATGAATCGAGTGAAAGAAAATCTGGTGATTTAAATAAGAAGTTTGGATCTTTACAAATTAATGATAAACAATACTCTTGTAGTTTTCTACACGATTCATATTGATTTATCTTTCTCCAAAGTGTTATTAAATTATCCTCCAGCCAACCCACTTCATAATGTAATAAATATTCTTGAACATGATCCGACAGTTCTGTTAATAGGAGTTCATCGGTCGCTATTAATAGATCTAATGCTTCCATCATCGTTTTGTCCATCAAATTCACGGTGCCGCTGTAGATAAACCTAATGATTACGAATAATAAGGGTAAAAGGTTAAGGAAAGACCATATAAAATTTTCTCCTCTCCTCTATAGTGACAACCTACTTTAAGATTATTTCAAAGACTTTTGGACTTATATTAGGTTTAGAAAATTTTATCACATCCCGCTCTTTTCTAGCCCAGTTTTTAGAAAGCGCTTGGCGGAAGTATGGTGACCTAGCTCTAAGTATGATGGAATGTGCGTGAAACGTTTGTGTATTTGGAGCTTCTCCTACTTCTATCACGACATTAAATTCTTCTAATCCGTTTGTTAAAATGTGTAAGATATCATTAGATAAAGTCGCCCAGAATTTTGTCATTTTTTTTTTTTTGTCGAGATTAGAGTTGGGGGATGATTCGAGTTGTATTTATATATTATAAATTTTTATTACGTTAATTGGTTAAATATTTCTAAATAATTACATAATGGCATCTAAATCGGGTTAGATTTGGCAAGTTCATGAGCTGTCATGTGTGCATTCATTATGCACCACGAGGACATCAATGAAAATATGAAAAAATACTCTCGTAATTTATTATTGAAGAAAAAAAGTACATGTACAATAAAAAAAGAATTTTTTAGTTTTATTTTTTTAATTTTAATTTTTAGGAATTCAAATTCATAACACGTATAAAAAAAATTTATGGTTCCTTTGTATTTTCATTTAAAACTCCCGCCATCTAAAAAGAAATGAAATGTGAATATTTGACACGATATCATTGACAAATCTCATCTAATTGAATACCCACCTTTAGAATATCTTTATCAATTTCGCTTGAATTATGTTTCTTCCATGACTGACGTTTTGTAGCTTCCTGTTCTTCCCACATCCATTCTCTCTTTTGTTTATCTCTAGCTCCTTCGCCGCCCAATCCAAACACTTCAATTTCCAACACTTCAAAACTCTTATCAAAGAACGTTCTCGAAGCACTTAGACTGTAAGTTGCATCCATACTTTTAAGAGCATCATTTCTATACCTTCCATGTTGCAAAGTGTTGTCCAATTGAATAACAAATGAATTAGTATCCTTTGATCCAATATTACTTGTTGATTTTGGCGTATCGATACCGCCAAATCCTATTCCAAATGTAGGATTATAATAGACGTAATTCGTGTTACGTTGAGATGCGGGAAATGATTCAAATGTAGGATGTAATTCAAACAAAAGACATTTTGCAGAACCGAAACACGACCGCGTTGAGGTTGTAGAACGCCATTTATCTGTTATGTAAGCACCGATCAATAGATTTTCCTTCTTGGAAACTCTCGTATGATGATAATTACAATTATAATTTGATGTCACCTCGGCATGGATTATCATAAGTGTAGGTCCATTATATTTAAAGACGTGACTGCTAAATCGGTTCATGCTAAATCCATGTTTACTTCCCGAATATAAGCAATTCCATTCTTTTTTTTTTAAAGTTTCTTCTGGTAACATCCAACTCAATAAAGCCAAATTAGCAGGATTCAAATTTTCAGACTTTCCATCCA